AAAAAAAAAAAAAAAAAAAGAAAGAAAATAGAAGTGGTGAGTCTCTTTGTGGTTAACATATAATATTCAGTGATGTTTCAAGTAGTTGTTCAGAGTAATACTCTGCCTTATAGTGAAAAACTTAATTTCAGTTACAATTGATTGAATTAGTAATAAATTATTTTACGGCTGGGCGCAGTGACTCACGTCTGTAATCCCAGCCATTTTGAGAGGCCCAAGCAGGCAGATCACCTGAGGTGAAGAGCCAAGACTAACCTGAAGAACATGGAGAAATCCCGTCTCTACTAAAAATACAAAAGTTTGCCAGGCATGGTGGTGCACGCCTGTAATCCAAGCTACTCCGCAGGCTGAGGCAGGAGAATAGCTTGAAGCCTGGAAGTGGTGGTTGCAGTGATCCAAGATCATGCCATTGCACTCCAGCCTGGGATACAAGAGCGAGACTGTCTAAAAAAAAGAAATATATATATATATATATATATACACATATATATATATAAAATTATACTAAGAATATTTCTATGTAATAAAATGCAGTACATTTTAAAATTTTCAGATTACTTGTAAACTTAGTTTTTTAATTAAACTTTTTAAAACATGTTATGGTCATAATACATTGAATGAAGTGTTTATTATGCCACTAACTTTCACCTATCTACCTAACTCAACAATATAGTTGGCTGGGCGTTAGCTCAAACCTGTAATCCCAGCACTTTGGGAGGCTGAGACTGGCAGATCACCTGAGGTCAAGAGTTCAAGACCAACCTGACTAGCATGGAGAAAGAAACCCCATTTCTATGAAAAATACAAAAATTGGCCGGGAGTGGTGGTGCAGGCCTGTAATCCCAGCTACTCCACAGGCTGAGGCAAGAGAATTGCTTGAAGCTGAGAGGTGGAGATTGCAGTAAGCCAAGATCGCACCATTGCACTCCAGCCTCAGCAAAAAGAGCAAGATTCCATCAAAAAAAAAAAAAAAAAAATGTAGTGATAAAGTGGTAACAGTGTGCCACTTGGTAACATTATGAACTAACATCTCTATTGCCAGTGGCTGTAAACGGCACATAAGAATATTATTCTTGGGGGTGAAATTTTTATTTTTCTTATATAAACTTATTTTTAAAAATTTTTGTGGGTGCACAGTATGTGTATATATTTATGCCATATATAGAATATTTTGATACAGTCATACAATATGTAATAATAATCACATCAGGGTAAGTGAAGTATCCATCACCTCCAGCATTTATCCTTTGCATGACAAATATATACATTTAGTTGTTTTGAAATATGCAATTAAATTGTTATTGATTACAGGGTCATTTTATGGTCATAATAAGAATTAGTATTAAAATCTTTACATTTCTAAATTTTGAATAAACAGTTTAAAATTTATTCATATTTTTCCTCAAACATGTGGTCTCTGCCTGCAAACACATACAGATTCTTAATTTTTATTTACATAGAGGTAAATATACACATATATTACTCTAAAGATAAAACTCAGGTAAGAAAATTGTATATATGTGTTTTTGTGAATATGAATTTGTACCTATTTTTTGAGGAAAAGAGCAATATCAGAACAAAACAAATCATCTGAAGAAGGTAACGAATTGGCTGGGTGTGGTGGATCACCTGAGGTTAGGAGTTTGAGACCAGCCTAAACACTATGGTGAAACCCCATCTCCACTAAAAACACAAAAATTAGCCAGGTGTGGTGGCATAAACCTGTATTCCCAGCTACTCAGGAAGCCCAGACAGGAGACTCGCTTGAACCTGAGAGGGGGAGGTTGCAGTGAAGTGAGATCATGCCGCTGCACTCCAGCCTGGGCGAAAGAGCGATACTCCATCTCAAAAAATAATAAGAAGGTAACTAATTCACTAGAAAACTGAAAACGTCAAAACTGCTGAAAACAAATATTCTTTCTGCTTTGTATTGAATTGATTACTGTAATATCTTATATGGCTTATAAACCCCATCTCTACTAAAAATATGAAACAGCTGGGTATGGCAGCTCGCTCCCATAGTTTCAGCTACTCGGGAGGCTGAGGCAGGAAAATCAGTTGAACCTGGCA